GAGCACGTGCAAGCATGAGCAAGGGAGGGGCAGAGGGAGAGGGAAAAGCAGACTTCCCACTGAGCAGGGAGCCTGACAAGGGGCCCAATCCCAGGACCTCGATCCCAGGAGCCTGGGATCATGACCTGAGCCAAAGGCAGACGCTTAACCAACTGAGCCACCCAGGCGCCCCACACTTCATTTTATTTCGATATTTACTTTATTGCAGTGGTCTGGAACCGAACCCACAATATCTCCAAGATATGCCTGTATTGCTTTATTTGTTTTATTTTATTTATTTTTTGTTATTTTATTTTATTTATGATTTATTTATTTAAGAGAAGGGGGTGCTGAGGGAGAGGGGAGAGAGAATCCCAAACAGACCCCACACTGAGCTGGAACTTAATGTGGGGCTCATCCCACAACCCTGAGATCAGGACCTCGAGATCATGACCTGAGCCAAAACCAAGAATCGGTTGTTCAACAGACTGCGCCACCCAGACATCCCTGCCAGTATTACTTTATTTTATTATTATTATTTTTTTTAAGATTTTCCATTTTTCAACAGAGAGAGAGAAAGACAGCAAGAGAGGGAACACAAGCAGGGGGAGTGGGAGAGGGAGAAGCAGGCCTCCCGCTGAGCAGGGAGCCCGACGCGGGACTCGATCCCAGGACCCTGGGATCATGACCCGAGCCGAAGGCAGACGCTTAACCAACTGAGCCACCCAGGCGCCCTGCCAGTATTACTTTAATCCTCATCTTGAGGGTTAAATGAAATAGCACATATAAAGAATTTAGAATTGAATCTGACACACTGTGTGATCAGTAAGTGTTAGTCAGTATTAATATTATCCATGGCTTTTGAATTATATAAAGCAATGACTTCTCCTTTTTGCTTACACTGGTTTAAGTTGGGTTTCCATCACTTGCTACCAAAAGGGTCTTACCTAATACAATTAACCTAAAGTATAAAGTCCCAGAATATACGGGTTTATGGCAGGCCAAATTCCTTTCTGTAGGCTGAGGCAGAGAAGGAGGATTGAATTAACTGAATCTGGACCATCTGGCTCCTTTTAGTTGATGTCATCAGTAATTTTACCTGAGTAATTTTTCCAACTCCTGGTTAGGAAAAGTTTTCTCATATCATCTTATTTATATTCACTAAAATCCTCCTCCTTCTGTGTTGTCAGTTAATAATATCCTGGTACGATTATTTGTTTTTTATAAAAATACAAAAAGTGGGGAACCACACACTAGAGAGATAAAATGAAAGAAATATTTCTATAATTAAAAGATTTTCTATTGTTTTTTAGGTCCTTGGCCTTAAGCTGGAAACTTTTTACATACTAGTTTAGAGTAAATAATATTATAACTAAGCAGTCTACATGCTAAATCGCATACTTTCTTGGTGTAGATTTCTGGAGGGATATGCAAGGGATTTGCATGTTTAATTCCCATTAGCACCTGTCACTGGGATTTATTATCCCAGAGTTAATTCTCCACTCATTGCAGCCAAGAAAAAGGAAGCCCTTGTACATGGATTTAAATGAGGCTTTTTATTTTTCAAAATGAGATGAATTCCATGTTTGTTCCTCAAACACCTGCAGTATTCCAACCCTGAAAAAGTCATATTTAAATTCATTTTTGGTGAAAATTTCCCCAAACTCGAATTTATGCAATAACTAGAAAAGCCAGTTCATAATTTGAAATTTTGTCTCAGAGAAAAAAAAGGTTTCAATCAAGGACTTCGCTAGGTTTTAAAATTCATTGGCTCTCATTCTTCCATTCAATATTCAATAGATATTTATTGACCACCTATTATGTGCCGGGCAGTTTTCTAGGTTCTGGATACAGAGTGGTGAAAGCACTAGGAAAAAAATTCCTCCCTTTGAGGAGCCTCCATTCTATTGGAGAGTATACATAAATACATATACATAAACACATACACATAGGCATATACATACACACACATATGTATACGCATATGCATACATACACACATACACGTACATAGATGTAGACATGTATATACATGTACATACACATGTTTATATAAAAGAAGTGCTATATGGAAAATCAAAGCAAGTGAATGCAATGGAGTGTTAAGGGGTATACGATATTTTAGGTTGTTGGTCAAAGAAGATCTCTCTAAGCAAGGATACTTGAGGCCAGATTTAGGTGAAGTCAGTTAATAATCCTATGCTCAGAAGCCTATGCAGCACTTCATTATCTATTTCATAAAGAAAAAAAAAAAAATACAGGCAGAATGTTGGTACACAAGGCAAGTTCCATCTGCAACCATGGATTGTAGGAAACTCTCCTGCTTAATAAAGCTGATCCATTTGCTGGTACTTTTCCTGTCCTTGTTCTTGTGCTCTCACTCTCCCCTCTGTTTTCCACCTCATTTCTACACGCCATTTCTCAAACCATTCTCCTGCCCTCTTTAGGCTGAATTTCAGTATTGAAGTACTTTTTTCTTCTTGTCTCTTCCTCTTTCTTTCAAAGAACTAATTTCATGCAATATCTGTCCTTGAGCACTTCAATGTCCCAAACAAGATTATGTAACAATTTAATTCTATTTAACTAACTAGACTTTGAGGATTCTTTCCTACTGAGACTTTTTGACAATCAACCAATATTGATTGAGCACCGACTATATATTGGACTCTGTCCTTAAGAGCTGCGGATGAAATGGTGAACAAGGCAAACTCTCTGCCTTAAAAAGAGTGAAATTCTAGCTAGAAAAGATAAGCAATGAAATTGTAAATGAATAAACAAAAAACTTTTAGATATTGCTACTATCACTATGATAGTGAGTATATGTGAGGATTTCTTAGTAATTAAGCTGCTGTCCTTCCTGGAAAAATTGTAAAGACAGATATGAAATATAATCATAAGTCCTTCTGGGGGTATAATCCTCAAAATAAATGATGGGTATGAGCTGCCTAGCTGCACTGTCCATCATAGTGGCCACTAGCTGTGTGCCTATTAAAATTAAATTAATTAATTACATTAAAATACCCAATTCATACTAGCCACACTGCAAGTGCTCAGTAGCCACATGTGTCTAGTGACTACCATTTGGGAGAGCATAAATGGACATGTTCCTCATTGCAGAAAGTTCTGTTGGACAGCACTAGTCTAGGTAGCATGCAGCTGATGAAACTCATCCATGGCAAGAATAGCAGGTAACAATTTTGTGTCAGGCACTTCTCACATCTTTAACTCATTTCTCGCAAAGCCCTATAAGATAATTACTGGTACTAGACCTATCTTACAGATTAAGAAACTGAGGCACCTAACTTTATTTTTCAGTATCTGTCAGCTAGTCATAAGAAATGCTGAGAATTGAACCCAGTCTGGAGCCAGAAGCTACCCTTTTACGAAAAGATTGTGATATCCTGTATGGGTAAGGGAAGGTGAAGAGGGTAAAGAAGAGATTTTAGCATGACAGGCAGTGCCTCCGTGGGAAAAAGAAATGGTCAGATTTGTCAGTGTCTTTGCCAAGTCTGACCTTTTCAGATCTACCGGAATCATTAAAGACAGGTCTTATTGGCTAGAGGTTCAGATGGAGCTTGGCAGGCAGAATCATGGAATGCTAGCACTGAAAAGAACTTTAAAGCCATCTAATGAAATATTTCACAGATGAAGAAACTGAGACATGCAGTTTACCTGACCTGTCCGGGATAACAGAGATCACAAGCCTCCGGCCTGTGTGTGTGTTTACACATTGCCCCCTTGGCACCAAGAGCTTAAAATTTCCCTGATATATTATTTATTATTTGTTTAGAAATGTACTAATCTTAGGAAGTGGTTTTCCTCTTCCCAGAATGTTGGACTGTCAATGTGTATCGACCTTTTTAACCCATCCACTTTTCCTTTTGTCTACCCTGTCATTTTATCCACCCATTCTTATTCTTACATTCCTCCTTCGTCATTACAAGAGATCCATAACCTAGCTACCCAGACTAACTATCCTTTCCTTAAAAAATAAACTAATTAATTAATTAATTAATTAAATAAAAAGGTAAAAAATTCATAGCAGTTTGAGTCCTTACACCGTTAGGAATTTGGAAAACATGTCATAGGTTCCACCATCACTTTAAGTGCATGTCTACAAATTTTGTTATTTTGTTGTGCATTGTTTCTGGGAGTTTCCGTGCCAGGTCTCACCTCACCACCCTTTACATACTCAACATTGCCAGCCACCAGGATGCACGCAAATAAAGCTCTTTTGAAGAATGAGTTTTCCTTTAGCTTTTGGTTTCTGTTCCACTACGGAGAAGTCATGGGCACCCAGAACACTGAGCAGTCTGAGTGGCGCTGACAACCCCAAGATTGCAGCAGGGTTGGGACACACACTGCAAAAGCTTCTTGCCTTCTTCCCCACCACGCAGGACTTCAACTCGAGCCCGCATCCAGCTTAATCGCAAGACCCCAAGTCAGTCGTAGAGCGAGTCCAGTCCCGGGGAGTCTGGCGCAGGCTTTGCTGGCGCCGTGGAGAAGCTGGCAGGCGGCGGGCTGAGCTCCAGTGGACTCAGCCAAGAGGCTCGGGGCGCGCCCGCTGTGCTCCTGGAGTCCGAGTCTGGCGCACCGCGGGAGGCAGGCGCGCTCCCACTCTCCGCAGCCGCCTCTGCCCTCAGGTTTCTCTCGCCCAGGCTTCCGCGGGTAAACCAACAGCCGGTCTCCACCTCCGGCGCTGGGCGCGCATCTCCCTCCGATCCTTGCTTACATAACGCGGGCGGGCGCGCTCCCGCCGCCGCTTACCCCCCAGCGGAGTTGGGCTGCGCCCTCCACGCCTCCACGGAGAGCGCCTCCGCGCACCCGTGCGCCCCAACGCTAGGAGGTGACCCTCCTTGGCCACCCAGCAGCGGCAGCCTGGACGTCCCTCCGCTGGCGTGAGCACGCTGAGATTGGAGACCCGAGAGCCCCACTGTGCCCAGCTCCCTCCCTCCGCTCCCACCTCCTCCCACTTCTCGCTTCCTCTCCCTCCGCCGCCTCCCGCCACCCCCCTTGCCTGTGTGTGTTCGGCACAGAGGAGGGGACCCGGAGAGCAGTCCAGGCTCGGCGCGCGGCGGAGCTGCGGCTGTTCCTGCTGCTGGGGGGAGCGGCGAGGTGGCCGCCTTGCGCCTCCCCGGACTTCCCAAGTGGGGGCAGAGCAGCAGCTCACCGAGCCGCCAGTTAGAAGGCACAGGGAAAGAGGGACCGCCAAACTCCTCCTCAGCGTCTCCTCTCCACCCCTTTTTGGCTCCTGCCCTTGGAGAAAGTGGAGTGTGGCTCTTGGTTATCATTATTTCTTCGGACTGCTTCGTGGTGCACGGATTCAGCTGCTTCCCAGTGGGGTTTTCCGCAGTTGGCGCGTCTCCCTGTGTGGTTCTGGCCGGCACACCTCTGTCGACGATGAGGAAAGGTCTACGGGCGACAGCGGCCCGCTGCGGACTGGGACTGGGTTACGTGCTGCAAATGCTCGTGCTACCTGCCCTGGCCCTGCTCAGTGCCAGCGGTACCGGCTCGGCCGCTCAAGGTAAGAGACTCCGCCAAGCTCCGCGGCCACCTCCCTTCGCTTCTTCCTTCCCTCCTCCTTCCACTCCTCCTCCCCAGTTCTCCTGCCTTCCTTAATTTGCCTCGTTGCTTTCAACTGGAAGTCAGTTCACGTTCCACTCTCCCAACTAGTCAAGAAGCTTTGGTTATTATTTTTAATCCATCTTCCGAGATGGGCACGGATGGACCAGGGACGCACACGGGGTGTGGACCTACATCTGTCTGTCTCTGGGCATGTGGGCGCCTTTTGCACTTTCTGCTCCACACTCATACGTTGTTGCATATTGGTCACACAGAGGTTTGCAGCGACTCTCGGTGCGGATGGCTGGGTGGCATGCCATAGGTACACCCTGATGCGCAGAGGCTCCCCGCGCTGAGCATAACTGGGGTTGCGGGATCTTCAGGGTGTCTCTGAGCACGTTAGACGCCGACGGGCGCTCAGCGAAGGAAATGTGTCCATTACCGCCGAGGACCCACCAGCTCCGGTGCCACTCTGCTGCTGCTTGGGGCGCTGTGGACATGCACAGCGCACCCGGACCCGCCACCCAGCCAGCGGCAGGCCTCGGGGGGTGCACGCCTCCACACTCTTACCCTTTCCGAGCCTTCCTCCCAGTAAGCCACGGAGAAACTTAAAACCCCAGAGCTCTGGGAAAACGGACTGGTTGTTCAAAGAGGAAACTCCCCCGGGTAATGGGCCAGTTTATAACTCTGACAATTTAATTTAACGCGCCTGAGCTTTAAAATAAGTGACCGGGGCCGTGGGCAAAACAGGGGTTGGGAGAAGAGCGGTCAGGAGTTGAGGGTGGATAAGGAGGGAGGAGAAGCGCGGGGGCTGATTGTCTTCTTGTCCCCCGAGTTTGAAGTGGTAGCGGCAGCTTCCAGCCTTCCGAGCCCAGGAAGCTGAGTGGAAGGGAGAGGGCTAGGAAAGAACCAACGCTGCCCCCTCTGGGGTCTGTTTCGCGTCACCTGGGCCCCCAACTTTGTGGCCAAGCCAGCGCCCACTTCGGTCTTTTCGACCAGTTTTGTGGAAGTCGCTGGCTTAGGGGAGGCAGCTGTTTTTTCCTAGGGCGGGGGTGAAGGAAGCTTATGCAGCATTCGGAGGTGAATTCAGGGATCCCATCATCTCGGTTACACTTCTTTCCAAATTTGGAGAGCAGAGGAGGTGCGGCGATAGCCTCGAACTCCCGGGGCGTTGCTCGGACACTGTGGAGGTTCCCAGCTGCATTCCCTCTGATTTGCGAAGGCTCTTCGGGGAGAGGGCGTTAGAGGTGGAGGGGAGCGCTGAGCGTTAGCGAGTGTGGTCTGAATGAGGAGGTAAGTGATTAGCAAGGCTTTGTGAATTAGTGATTGCTACTTCGGGAGTAAATTTTCCTGCTGCCTAGCTAAGTAGCCACACTCATAAATCCTTCCTTCCCTTCTTACCAGATGCCTCCCATCCTCGAGGTTCTGCCCTGATTTTCTTATGCATACTTCCAGAGCTCATCTGCCTGTCCATTTTACAAAGGAATCGTATGAACGTGTTGTAGATTTCTTGAACTTGGTAAGAAGTTCTCTGGGTAGCAGCCAAGGGTGTTTAGAGAGGAGTGTTTGGAAGTTTAAGCGAACAACCTGATGAATAGTCGTGAAATCAATCGCGTGACTCCCTGTGGGATTCGCCTACTGTTATTGGGCGCACAAAGGACCCAGCCATGGGGTGGGGTTCAGGTGGGGGTCGGTCGGGGGAGGACTGGGCGGTGAGAGAACCCTTTGGGAAAAGGACAAGTTAAAGTCCCCAAAGATGCCAAACAGAAGCTATAGGATTCTTGCCTAGAGCTTACTACAGCAACATTAAAAGGACTGGGTCGGAAAAAAAAAAAATCAATAAAGATAATCCAACAGGAGATTGTAAGTGGATTAATATTGAAAGAAGGGAGAAGAGATTAAACGAAAAAAAACCGCTCAAGACAGACTGAGCAAGCTAACTGTGCCACTTGCACTTTTCTTACAGACCAGGCAATCCAAAGATTGGGCATTGAACCTGCTCCTCTGGTCTTAAATGGAAAAATAAAATGTATTCTGTAGGGTATATGCATTTCAGTGGTGTTCCTCTCCATTTAGTTTGTTTAGTTATTCCAGTTGCTGGTGAATCGACTGTTTGAATCTTATGGTCTCGAAAGACACTATACTCCCACTTTTATTTTTGTTAGCCTCCATGTTTCAGGACACCGGCTCTTCCTGTGTTGTCTGTTAGATATTAAAAATGTAGAAAACACCAAACTCAGCTACTATCACTATCACTCTAACCCATTTCCCAGCCTGCTTACTATTGAGCCACTAGTACACTTTCTTCTCAGAATCACACTTTTATATCAGGCTGGCGTTCAGACCTCCTTTTCCTTCTAATATCTTCTCTTTTCTTCTCCCTCTTTGGACTAGCACACTAGGGAAACTGAAGATACTGTTGCTTCCTCAGGTATGATTTCCATGTGTTGAACACTTAAAGATGGAAGTGATCTCTTTTTATGAATGGAACTACATATGCAATTAAGATGAGAAAGTTAATTTGAGGACTTGACAATGTGGATGAGATTTATTTATTCTGTTGTTAGAGAAGTACTAGAAAAATTAGCACTTTTAAGAAAATAGTATGTCTTCAGAGGTAGCCCCCCCAAAAAAACACACACACACACACACACAAAACCAACAACAGATGTTTAAGATGAAAAAAGAAGCATAATAGGTATTATTTGTGAGTGTACTATATTTTCTAACTGTAGTTTAAATGAAGACAGCAGTCATTTTAGTTAGGTCCTTGGGAGATTCTCCAGGCTTTAGGCAACAACTTTCTCCTTTCTGGCTATGCCTTAATTGTTTCATTCAGGATTGCCTGAAATTCCTAGCTCCAGGGGGAAAAAAATTGTTTCTGACTTCCAAGAATGAAAGATTTTAGTAAGTAAAGAGAGAGAGAGAGAGAAACAGAGACAGAGAGTGTATTTGATCAGTGTGCCTCAGAGTTAGTGCCCTCCTGTTTTAGAAATGCATTTGTTTCTGGATTATCACAGCATTGATATTCTGCTTATCTAGCACCAACTAGTGTTATGAGTGTTAACATCACCAAAGTCAGAAGAGAAAATTAATGAAGGCTCTAATCATATTGAGACTATTTGCTATTACCAGAAGTTAATTTATGATGTTTTTTAAACAAATACTTCTTCCTACAAAAGAGTAGAAACTGCTTTCATGCATTTATGCATATTGCTGTGGTACAAATAGACAATTGGCACAAAAGATAACTGAATTTCATTACAATTATATCACGTATTTTCTCCATTTTAGGAGCAGAGTAAATTCATAAAATCACATTTGGAATTTGCAGTAAGGAAAAGTATCCTTGCTCAAGGAATGCTTAAAATGCCTCAGAGGACAAACTTTTCAAATCCTTGCAAAGAAGGAAGAACTATTAGATTGTTAAAATTCACTGATTCCTTAGTCTTCTTACTGTGGGTACTGGGGATTCAGCATTCAACAAGACAGGTTCTTTGACTATCTCCCATTTTAGTCTGCGAGCTGGATGTCCTGATCAGAATTCATCCTGATCTTTTTTAAGCAACCCCCCCCCCCAAAAAAAAACATAAAGGAGGCATGAGCTCCACCAAGGCAAGCCCTCCTAGCTTATTTGGAATTACTGTTGAGACTTAAAAATAACTGTGCTCTAATGTATGCTCCCTTCTCCAATTGGTGCCAACAGCCAGAGTGTGCTCTATTAGGCCTGAACTGCATTTAGCACTTTTCTGATTTAGGTCATGGCTTTGCTGGAGCAGCAGAGGGAGTCACTCTCAGAAGGAACATTAAAATTACAGGCTGCAACCCCTCCATATATATACAGGGGAAAAGAGTGGGGGTGGGGATTTAGCCAGAGTCCTTGCCTTGTGATTTTAACCTACTTTTTTTTTTTTTTTTTAGTTTGACTTTTGTATTTGTGGCAGTTAAAAACAAACCTGGTTACATTTCTCCACAAATTAGAAACCTGTTAGCTCCTTGGGATAGTGTATGATATTAGAAGTAAAATTCTAAACAAACAACTGTTGTGCACTTACTATGTCCCAGACTGTGCTCTATTTGTCAGGGACACAATGTCGAAAGAGACAATTTCAGCCCTCAAGGAAGACAGACTTAGAAGCATATAATTATAATGCACTTTCTGAAAAATAACAGTCAGCATAGGTATAGTACTTTCTGGATTCAAGTATCAAAGATAGTGAACACAGGTCAGGGTAAGGTTCTACTGGGAGTAGTGGTGGGGTTTCCAAAATTTCTACACAGAAGAACTTAAGGATGGCAATGTGGTTTGAAGTGGGATGTTCTAATGCCATGTTAGCATTGGAACTGTCTAACTTATGTTAAATCTTAGTTAAATTTAATGTATATTTGCTCTGGCTTTGAGGAGGCACAAGCTAAGTGTTGTTAGTTGTATGTGCCCATTCTGCCGATTGGCTTAGTGTTTATCAGTGTCCCCTAATCCTGCTTCTACCACCTCCTAATTCTGTTGCTATGGGTGAGTTATTTAGCTTCATTTGTGCCTCAGTTTCCACCAATGTAAAGTGAAGATAATATATACTACCAGTCCTATTATGATTAAATGAGTTAATACATGTAAATTGTTTAGGGCCATGCCTGGCCCACAGAAAGTAAACATTATTCTTTGGCTTCTAACTCTGTAAACCACTGGCAAAGAAATCTAGAAGGTAAAGAAACTAAAGGTCAATAATTTTGAACTCAGACTAGGGATTACTGCAGACTCTGCTTCGCCAAAAGCAGCAAATGAAGCTGTCTGAGGAGATGTCCCAAAATAGATCACTGCAAACTCCTGGACAGTGATGTGCATGGTTCCTTGAACAGTCAGTCAGGGGGAAGCTCTCTCCCTTCATAACCCCGTTTCTTCCTTTCTGCTTTTTCTGGGAAAATTAACCTAATGCCAGTTCTAAAAATTCCATTTTGAGTCAC